TAAATTACGTTATAATTATATATAATTATATGAAATGTATTATTGTAGAGTTTCTAATTGATATTAGATACATTCATTATGTTAAATGTTAAATATAAAATATTAAGGGTCGTTGTATAAATTATATATAATGATTATATAATTTAATATATTTATTATATTTAATGTAATATAATGTCGAGGTAGTCGTTATATAATTTATAATATATAATGTTATATTATGTATATTATATTTAATATAATATAATCAATTATAAATTATGTAATAATTATATGTAATTTACATAATGATCTTTAATTACATTTATGGAATTCTACCAATATCTCGATTACGTTGCTGATGATAAATGTAACTTGTGTTTTCAGCCCTGATGAAGCTAGCCAGGCCAGCCCCTTTGTCGAAGGTGGTGCGAACGATATGCCTTCCCGATCCAGGGGAAGAACTAGCGAATGGTCAGTGCATAGCTTCCGGCTGGGGTCGTTACGGCCCAACGCAATCACTTTCCACCGCCTTGTTGGAAGCAACAGTGCCATTACTGGATCTAGAAAAATGCACCCAAGCGTATGGGAAGTCTGTACCGATCCGAAACGGCCACCTCTGCGCTGGCCACACCGACGGCTCTTCCGGAAGCTGCGTCGTAAGTATCGTCCATGGACATCTTCACATCTAAACACGAACCTATTCGAGTAATTTACGCAACCGTTCGAATATCGAGACGGTACGGGCCACGCTGTTCGCGCGACGCGAATTAATTTGATCGCGATACGAAAGAACCGGTCGAACGATTACGTAAGATATCACTCAACGGGATTAGAGCTTTTCTGGGATAACGGATGCTGACCTTCATCAACGAGTCTGCCAAGATGGAACGATCGATCGTTTTGCCGAGATTGCCACGATTAGCATCGGAATCCTTCGATGCTTTCTCACGAAACTTTCTAATTTTCCTTGCATTCCCGTTGCAGCTGCAAGCCTCCCGGTCGGTATTGCAGTTTGGTCGGTACAGTAGTCGTTGCTCGAACAGAAATACATATAAGCGAATTTCGAAGCACGAAAGTATTCGTAAGAATCGCTATGGAATTTTCTAATTTCCTTTTTTTTCATTTCGTTAGGGCGATTCCGGAGGACCCTTGCAGTGTCGTCGCGTAGACGGAGTCTGGCAGTTGGCAGGCGTCACTTCGTTTGGGTCAGGATGCGCCAGGCCAGGATATCCTGATGTATACACCAGCGTACAACATTACGTCGGCTGGATAAGAAACATCATGAACAACGAGGGGGATTCGCAATATTTATAGTTTCGTCTCTTGAGTCGCGTGTACCATTAAGTGTAGATATTATTCGTGTAAATATTGTTAAAGTAGATCGTTGTAAATACACGCCTGTTACTAATTTTTTAAATTGCCACAAACATTAGTTTACAACTCGAACGTGCATTAGCGATAGTGACGTATATGTAAGCAACCGTTACGCGAACGCAGGCCAGCGGCAACTTCGAAAGAAAAGCTATTCGCTAGGAGCTGAATTTCTTCTATTCCCAGCGGGGAAAACAGATTTTCCCGTCTTCATCCTCGAAATACGAAATATCTGCATTTATATGACTCTCGTGGGAGATCTAACTTGTTTCACTCTTTCCGTATCTATCGCGATGTTGCGTAACATTGTGGTTCTGCGTATGACAAGCATAGTGATTGCATTCTCTCGGATGATATTAGAAATATCGATTCACGGGAACGTGTAGTACAACGGAGTGGTAACCCAAAGAGGGAGAGTACACACATTACGCACTGAAGAGCATCCATTAATTACCTTAATACGAGGTACTTAGTATGTGGAAGGTTGGCTACAGGTTGCTCTAGTCGAACTTCGTTTGCAGATTGTACGGAAGATAGAGACATCAGCCTTGAATCAATTTTTGTTAGATTCTTATCGTTCGAGGATGAAGCAGCACAAAGATGGCAGATTCGAGGAGCTAATTACCACGTAATAAATTTTTATTTTAGGCAACGTTCTCTGTGTGTTATGTGATGCACCCTTCCCCCCCATTTTGTATGTTTTATTACTGTACTCTATGTATCTTTAAAAACCAAAAATCAGTATATACTAACTTTCGTGGAGTACTTGAGTTTCACGATTTAAGGATCCTTTGATCTATTAAGGTGGTTTGGTCAAAACTTCTGATCCACATTTTTTGGAGGTGGCACGAGGAATACATGGTACGTATCGAATTTTGGTCAGAATTTTACTCCTGGTATCAGGAGAACATAATATGCGAAGGGGTAGCACGAAGGAAATTGGGTACGTATCAAATTTGGATCAGATTTGCACAATTTTACTCCTGGTATCAGGAGAACATGATGTGCGAAGAGGTGGCATGTTAGTGCCTAAAAGCAGGCAACCGGTCCGACATACCTGTAAGTATGGGTTGCCTGAGTCAAGGGGCACATTTTTCGGTACGTGCCGAAATTCTTGCCGATTTTGGATTTTGATATCAGAAGCACATGATATGCGAAGAGGTGGCATGTTAGCGCCTAAAAGCAGGCAACCGGTCCGACATACCTGTAAGTATGGGTTGCCTAATTCAAGGCGCTCATTTTCGGTAAGTACGGGAATTCTGGCCGCTTTTGTATTTTGGTATCAGGAGCACATGATATCCGAAGAGGTGGTACGTTTGCGACTACGGACAGGCAACCGGTCCGACAAGTCTGTAAGTATAGGTTGCCTAATTCGAGGGGCTAATTTTCAGTACATTTCGGAATTCTGGCCAATTTTGCAAAGTCAACAATGTTGCAAATCGCTTCTCTTAAAACTTTATCAATTGTGCAAACTCAACAATGTTGCAAATCGCTCCTCTCAAAACTTCAACAATGTTACAAATCGTTCCTCGCGAAACTTCGACAATGTTGCAAACCCAACAATGTTGCAAATCACTTTTCTCCAAACTTCAACAATGTTGCAAATCGTTCCTCTCCAAACTTCAACAATGTTGCAAATCGTTCCTCTCAAAACTTCAACAATGTTGCAAATCGTTCCTCGCGAAACTTCGACAATGTTGCAAACCCAACAATGTTGCAAATCACTTTTCTCCAAACTTCAACAATGTTGCAAATCGCTCCTCACGAAACTTTGACAATGTTGCAAACCCAACAATGTTGCAAATCACTTTTCTTTAAACTTCAACAATGTTGCAAATGGATCCTTTCAAAATTGTGACGGGAAATGTTGGATTTTTACTCCTGGTATCAGGAGCACATGTAGTGTGAAGAGGAAGCACGTTTGCGCCTAAGGACAGGTAACCGGTCCGACAATTCTGTAAGTATGGGTTGCCTAATTTAAGGGGCTAATTTTCGGTACGTTTCGAAATTCTGACCGATTTTGCATTTTGGTATCAGGAGAACATCATATGGTAAGAGGTGGCACGAGAAAAACATGGTACGTATTGAATTTTTGTCAGAATTTTACTCCTGGTATCAGGTGAATATGATATACGAAGAGGTGGCACGAGGAGAATATGGTACGTATCGAATTTTTGTCAGAATTTCACTCCTGGTATCAGGAAACCATCATATGGTAAGAGGTGGCACGTTAGCGCCTAAAAGCAAGCAACCCGCCCGACATATCTGTAAGTATAGGTTGCCTAATTCAAGAGGTTCAGTTTTGGTACGTATCGAAATTCTGGCCGATTTTGCATTTTGGTATCAGGAGAACATCATATGGTAAGAGGTGGCACGAGGAGAATATGGTACGTATCGAATTTTTGTCAGAATTTTACTCCTGGTATCAGGAAACCATCATATGGTAAGAGGTGGCACGTTAGCGCCTAAAAGCAAGCAACCCGTCCGACATATCTGTAAGTATAGGTTGCCTAATTCAAGGGGCACATTTTCGGTACATTTCGGAATTCTGACCGATTTTGCATTTTGGTATCAGGAGAATATGATACGCGAAGAGGTGGCACGAGGAATATATGGTATGTATCGAAATTTTTACCCGGGTTTTACATTTTGGTATCAGGGGAACATGATATTGGGGGAGGTAGCACGAATAAAATATGACACGTTTGTTTGTTTGTTTGATTGTTTATTAAAGTAACTATGTAATTACAAGTTTCACTACTGCTTACTTATAACTATTTGTACATCTTTTCACTTACGTTTATGTATTTGCACGCATATCTTTTATTTTTATGCACGGATGCCCCCTGTATGCGGCAACCGATAGTAGTCTGCTTGTCGGTTCGGTTGCCTTCTTGTAGGTTGCGCAAACTCCGACTATTATTTTTTTCTTATTTCCACTTGTAGGACATGCTCACCAGTTTGTTCATTGAGACCCGAACACCCTGCATATTACAGATGGAGAAGTTGAATCTGGGGTGTCCCTAGTTTTATTGTATTTCGCGGCTGTCGCTATTGTCGCTACACATAATACCGAAATAACAATTAATCTTTAAAGCGCTTTCTCAGCATAGTTGTAGTATTATAATGCTTAGAAGATTCACATAATTGCTTAATTAACTTATGTTATTAGAACTATACGGATTAAAAGTATTTATTATTAAGAAAATTGGTGGCGCCATCTATTAGGGAAGTCCCCAAGCTTGTAGTCAAATAGTTATAAGATGCCACCGCTAGATGTGGCAAGATTGTATAAAATATTTTTTAACGATATAACGTTCTTAACATAAATAATTGAACAATTAGGAGAAAAGTCTAAGCATTATGGTGCTACAATTATGCTGAGAAAGCGTTTTTAAACATTAATTAATGTTTCGGTATTTTGCACTTTATGTGGCGCCATCTAGCTTCGAAACGTTGGAACTATTTGGCTACAAGCTTGGAGCCTTTCCGAAGAGATGGCGCTACGATTCTTTTAGTAATAATGATTTTTAAACGGTATACTGCTATCACCATAAGCTAGTTAACCAATTTGGTTAATATTCTAAGCATTATGATGCTACAATTATGCTGAGAAAGCGTCTTTAAACATTAATTAATGTTTCGGTATTTTGCACTTTATGTAGCGCCATCTAGCGTTGAAACGCCGGAACTATTTGGCTACAAGCTTGGAGCCTTTTTTAAGAGATGGCGCCACCAGTTTTTTTAAATAATAATTATTTTTAAACGATATAATGATAATAACTTAAGTTAATTAACCAATTATGTTAATATCTTAATCGCTATCATACTAGAATTAAGCTATATATTCGTTTTTCAACGTTAAATGTGAACACGATTATGCTATCTATCTATATATATTGGATTTTAGTTCATAGTATTGACCGCTAGATGGACATACTAATCGCTGCACCGTTAGCGCCACCTTGTACGTGCGAATGCAAATGCGTGTGTAGTTGTCATATAAATAAAATACGAATGTACAACGAAACCTATGAAAAATCCATTCGATATCGCTTAGAATATATCGTAAGATGTTTAAACAATAATAAAATTGCTATAGTTTCAGGTGAATTTATTTTATCACTCCTTAATTATGCAATTATTATATGTATATATATATATATGTACTTACTGTATTTATGAACTAGGGATTGGATATTTATCATTAAATAAAACATGTTGAGATCGATTATTTATATTCTATTATTTGTAATTCGTCTCGATACCGGACTACAACGATATATATATATACATGTATTTATTTAATTGCAATCGATTGCTATCTTCGTTCCGTTAAACACAGTCTAGGATACGAAATACAGCAATACGTTGCGATTACAAGCAAATTATCCTAATTGATACGCATCGTTAGATCAATCAGCCCGAGAAGTCGTTTACGATACGTACACATATACATACATACGTATATATGGATGTGTAAAAAGACGGAATTGATTTAAATCCATTTAAGAGATAAAAATACTACAAAGTACTTTCTAAAATGTAATTGACGATACAGTGATATATTCGATTAGAACTATTTCTCGTAATTAATAAAAATAATGTTGTAACAAAGGACAACCAAGGTACACAGATTCAGCCCTATAGTAACGAACAATCGGAGTACGTTTGTTAATTGTTGCATCGGTTTAAAATTTGATCGGTGTCGATGATAAACGAGTGTATTTACAATAGAGACAGTATTTACACAATGAGTAGTCCAACAATTTATCGTGTTCGTGATTTTAATCCTTGCCGATCGCGATTCTATGACTAATGATTCGTTGCCCTTCGAGAAGCATGATTTCGATCTCCCCACTATATTACATACAGGGCCGGCGTTAGAGGCGGGCGCCAGATTTTTAAGGGCGTCGCGGTGTAGATTCGTAAAGCTGCTATACAGGGTGTCCCAAAAATGTTGTAACACCTTGAAAAGGGTGGTTCGGGAGGTGATTTGAAACAACTTTTTCCTTAGCGAAAATGTTGTCCGAGGTTTCGTTGAGGAGATATTAACGGAAAACATTGACCAATCAGAGCACGAGGATGCCAGTGGAGCGTAGGCTACGCGCTAGACGCCTGCGCTCATTGGCTACCACGAGCGCTCCATCGGCATCCTCGCGCTCTGATTGGTTGATGTTTTCTGTTAATATCTCCTTAACGAAGCCTCTGACAACATTTTCGCTAAGGAAAAAGTTGTTTCAAATCACCTCCCGAATCACCCCTTTCAAGGTGTTACAACATTTTTGTCCCCCCTGTATATTGTAGTTTAACAATCTTTACAATCTAGCTACAGATTCATCATTTGATATTATTACCTTGTCTTCTTTTCTTAAAAAATTTAAGCTCTGAAGGGGCGCCACGATAATCTTGCCGGGGGCGCCAATATTGCTAAACCCGGCCCTGATTGCATACAGCTGTAATGCCTCGAAAGATGTTCCTCGCCGAAAACTAAAAGCACGAACAATGTTATCCCTATCAGTTTCGAGACTGTTAAGTGTAAAAAAGCTTCGTTCTTAAAACTCTGAAAAACATCCGCGAACGGAGGTTCAATTTCTGAAACGCAAATGCCGTGAAACCTCCAAAGATGTTCGTCTCGAACATCTCTCGAAGCACTGCCGTATTATTTCCCACGATTTTCAAACGATTGGCTAGATTCCATTTCCTACATTTGGCTCTCTATCGAAAAACGAAGCTCAAGCTCGGAGCAGCGTTTCCCTTTACAGTTATGCGCTTTTAGAATTCGTTATTGTCTAATTATTGTTTGCATTTGTCGAAAGCCCGAAGAAAGCTTTCATCTCTCTCTCTCTCTCTCTCTCTCAAGGATTAAAAACACAAAAGACAGAATTCCGTGCTGGTGCGACACAGTAGAAAAAGGTTACGGTGATCGTCGCTAATTTTATCTAATATAAATTCTGTCTTTTTTGTCGTTTAATTATTTTTTTTTGTTTTTTGTACATGTTCACAGAAGATTGTTGTCATTTATTTGAAGGTAACGAAGCGGAGGAACATTGTGAAACGATTTCAACTATCCTAAAAATATGTTCACCGTCAACTTTGTTCAAGTTTCTGGAGTTTTCTTGCCATGCTTTCATTGCGTGTACTCGGCGATGGGCAAAACCCTAGGCTTCGAATAAATCCGAAGTTTGTCTCGTTTCTTCTTTCGAACATTTTCGGTACACTTCAGATTTATTCGAAGCCTAGAGTTTTTCCCGTCACTGTATTATGCTGATTATGCACCAAATTGTTGAGCAAACTTGTATTTGTACCGCTCACGGTATATAGGTACAAAATCTAACGATAGTTACGATCTAAGCGACGACTTTAACGCTGGGCGTCGTATAATTACTGGTACAATGTGATCCAACGATAAATAAGTAGAAAATGTAGTAGAAAATTTGTTCCTACAAGGCTTCGTTTCTGAGATAATTAACGTAGAAGATCATTTTTAAGATAATTTACGTTTTTAAGATAATTAACGTAAAGTGTGCACGTGCTCCGAATACATTCGAAATCAATTATTTCGAAAACGAAGCATTGTACGAAAAATTTCCATTCTACATGGTGTCCCAAAAACGTTGGAGGTCCTTGAAAGGGGTGGTTCGGGAGGTGATTTGAAACAACTTTTTCCTTAGCAAAAATGTTGTACGAGGCTTCGTTGAGGAGATATCAACGGAAAACCTCCGACAAATCAGACCGCGCGTATACCGTTGGAGCGGCCGTAGTAGGCGTGGCTACCCGGTAGGCGACCGCGCTCATACGCTACCGCGGCCGTTCCAACGGTATATGCGCGCTCTGATTGGTCGGAGGTTTTTCGTTGATATCTCCTCAACGAAGCCGCGTACAACATTTTCGCTAAGGAAAAAGTTGTTTCAAATCACCTCCCGAACCACCCTTTTCAACGTGTTACAACATTTTTGGGCCACCCTGTATTTTCGATTTACTCCATCATGGCGAGTCGATAACTACTCTCGGTTGTACCATGTAATTTTGAAATGCCCCGCATAGCGACCACAGTTGCGTTCGAAAGGCGCATTTTGATACATTATATCTTAAAAGCTGCCGCGAAACAATTTGATAGCAGCGTAAACGTTAACATCATCGAAACACTTTTGTAAATGATACATACGTTTTCGTTAAGTTTCCTCTAACGTTGCAAGCACGAATGGAAGGAAAGATGTTCGCGAAAGCTCGAGACGAAACAAACAGTTCGACTAAAATGCACGAAGCGACGAGTCTTACGAATTCTACAAAGTTCGTCGACGAACAAATCGCGAGATTTCGTTGTTTGATTTCAATAATCGATTTGGATCGTCTTGTGCAAGGCTCGACTTACGCGACAGCACCTTTTTCATTTTATTTTCTATCGTATTTCTCTCTCTCTCTCTCTCTCTCTCTCTCTCTCTCTCTCTCTCTCTCTCTCTCTCTCTCTCTCTCTCTCCCCCCCCCCCCTTAAAACTTTCATCTCATCGTGGATGTCATTTGGATTCGTTGGGCGACGTCGAAAGTCAAAAAACTTGTCAACATTATTCCGTGTAAACTAACGACACGAATTTCGTACGCTTAATGTTAGTAATGATTCTATTAATTCGACAGCAACGCGAGAAAAAAATTTTAATTTAATTACGCTCCTACTTATAATTAATACATGTATATATATGTATTTTAAATTCATTATTATATATGCTTTGTATAATTAATTATTATCAAATAAAAATTTTATTGTAAGTGCTTTTTCAAAAGTTTGAGCTTGAACCTATCTCTGCCAATTTTATCCTGGATTCAGGACGCATTGAAAGTAACGATTACAGGAACCATAAACGGAGGTACGAACTCGTTACACTCAAAATTAATCGTGCTAATTCAACACGATGCTGAACTCGAAGAAACTCGAGAGAAAGAACGGGTCTCGTCCCTCTAAAAATTCAGCAACAGATCGATCGATTTATATTGTACGATTCATCTCGTCTGTTTACCGATTCTAAAACAATGGCGGAATCAACGAAAGAATCTACAGTGGGTGTAGAAAGTATTCGTACACCGATCAATTAAAAAAAAAAAAAAAAAAAAAAAACCTATGTAAAATTGTAATGTATTAACTTATTCTTTATAAACAATGACATTCTACATGATCTCGGAAATCTCTATAATAGATAGATTACAAAAAAAAAAGAATAGCTATTTATGTAAGTTGCGAAATTAACAAGAAAAAAATAATTAATCGATAGAAATATCGAAGCAATAAGTATTCGCACAACTGTTTAATTTTTAAAACTTCATTAAAAAAAAAAAAGAAATTTACATTAATTTATAAGTATATAATACCATTAAGTAATAATTATTGCAACTCTTTTAAGCGTTAAATTAACTAAATTATTAGTTATTCGAAGTTGGATCTTTTTCCATTCTTCTATTAGAGCCTTTTTTAAAAGTACTTTACTGGAAATTTGATGTTTTCTAATTCGTACCGGGCCCATAAACTAACGTGTTTACGTTACAAACTCTACTGTAAATGGTTCGTCATAAGTAGACTGCTGATCTTTATGCATTTATAGGAAATTCGAATATCCAAGAAACTACAAAATACAAACAATATCGAAGAATATAAAAAAGATTGAAAGTAGAGATCGTGTTATAATATTTGCAGAATACAATAAATTCCTATTTAGGTTCAATTTTCGTAGGCACGTTCGCCAAGATTTTATTTTGCATAAAGATCCGCAGTCTAGTCACAAGAATCGTACAAATACTTATTGCATCTATACTTTTACCCACTTTTCGCGTTTATTTTGTTCATTTCACAAATTATATTAACTAGTAAATGTTGTTTGGACTATATCCATCTTAGAGACTTCCGAGAATATGTAAAATAAACATTGATTATAAAAAATGAAATTAAGAAACTACAATCTCACACAAATGTTTTTTTGGCAAATTGTATTGCTGTACGAATACATTACACCTACTGCACGTCGACTGGAAAAAGTTTGGAGAAGTTTCACGAAGGTGAATCCCCGTGAGTAGCGGGAAGTAGAACATCTTTTGATTTCACAAATGTCAAACAACATTTGTCGCTATTATTAATAAAATAATTTAATCCTATCGATTTCTTCTTGAATATATAAATAAATATCTTATTATTCTGTCTTCGATTCGAAGCTTAACATTTGTCGCTATCGTTACAGCTCTTTCCTTGCAACTATTACAATGTAATTACAAGGGGGACTAACATTAATACCTTAAGGGGGAAGTCTGGTCCAGCTAATGTATTTTTCTAATGCATACAATTTCCAGATATAATTAATGTTTGTTATTGAAACTTTTTGTACATATAAAGGGACGTTCAAAGAAGAAAATTTGACAGTGTAGATTTAATTTGAACGTTTTCACTGAATCCTTTCCTTGCAACTACTATATCTATATATGTATACATATCTGTATAGTATATAGTATATATACATATATATACATATATATACATATATATAGTATATATACACGTACATACAACTTGTTTTACATACAAAGGGACGTTGAAAGAAAAAAATTTAACAGTGTAGATTTAATTTGAACGTTTTCATCGAATCCTTTCCTTGCAAGTACTATATCTATATATGTATACATATCTGTATAGTATATAGTATACATATCTGTATAGTATATAGTATATATACATATACATACAACTTGTTTTACATACAAAGGGACGTTGAAAGAAGAAAATTTGACAGTGTAGATTTAATTTGAACGTTTTCACCGAATCCTTTCCTTGCAAGTACTATATCTATATATGTATACATATCTGTATTGTATATAGTATATATACATATATATACAACTTGTTTGACATACAAAGGGACGTTGAAAGAAGAAAATTTGACAGTGTAGATTTAATTTGAACGCTTTCACCGAATTCTTTCCTTGCAACTACTATATCTATATATGTGTACATATATATATACATATATATATATATACATATATATACATATGTATACATATAGTATATATACATACAATGTAGTATATAAGTGTACATTCGAATTAAATCTACACTGTCAAATTGTCTTCTTTGAACGTCCCTTTAAACGTACAAAAAGTTTCAATAACAAACATTAATTATATCTGGAAATTATATGCATTAGAGAAATACATTAGCTGGACCATTCTCCCCTCCCTTAAAACCTCACCTTTAATTTCAGGCTTAAAATTTATCGTTATTATTCCTAACACTTATAACTCGATACGAACAGTAACAAGACAGTGACAAGAAGAACAATGATTCTTGTGACATGCTCGTCGTTGTCTCCATCGAACGTCTTCGAACTATTAAACGGTAACAGCATTCGGTTAAGGCAGTAAGACAGGGAAAAGTTTCGCGTCGATTCTTTCGTTCGTTCCGCCACGAAATAATTAACAGAGCGTTGTTTCCTTTGGAACAGTCTTTAGTTCGCCCGTGCTCGCTCTACGCCATCTCTTCCATCTGAAAATTTTAGCCTACTGTGTACACTTTTATATTAGGCATCCGTTCGTTTCTATTTGTTATTTGTTGTTGTTGTTGTTTTTTTTTTGTGTGTCTTTTTTACGTATCCTCTAGATTCAAATATCAAACGTTCTGTTTTCTTTTTTTTTTCTCTTTTTTTTTTTCATTTTTTGTTGTTGTTCAGTTTGTGGATTTTATCGTAGGTACTAACACGAGGCTTGGCTTCGTTCCAGGGAACGTATCCGCGTGATATGGTTCGCATTTCTTACGTGGTCCTTAAAGTCTGTGTTCGACGCAGCAAGGTAGTGCGTGATAAGGCCCTAAATGTACAGGGTGTAAAGAGAAGTATTCGTCGTGGCGCGATTTACGCGTCTTGAAGTACTTGAACGTTTCCGGTTTCGAAACCGGAACAAAGATTCACGGCGACGAATACGTTCGTTTACATTCTGTACTTCAAAAGATTCATAAAAACGTTCGGCAGTAACATGATAGACGCGTGCGAATCGTTCGCGAGTAATTGCGCAATCTGTATTAACCGTTTGCACTCGAGGCATTTTTATCTGGTATCTGCCAGCAACTCGAGATGTTTCTTAAGCATTCAATTGCCATGAATTCTAAGCTAACTAGATTTGAGAACAAGATCACCTCGACGACAATCTTTCTATCGACAATTGGAGCTCCAAAGAAATTAAACCTAAAGAAAGGTATCGCAGATTAGGTATCGTACATTCGCTGCGTGAAACCTAATGGTGACTGAGAGTCACGTCTCGAGTGCAAAGGGTTAAATATCCCATGTATACGGTACATTTATTAGAGAAAATCTCTGACGGAGATTACGAGACCTGACCAGGGTGAAGTTTACCGTGAACAATCACACCTAATTGCCGTTTCAATTACGTGAGAAAGATAGAGGCTTTAGTGGTCTCTAATTTCTAATTCTAGAGAGGCTGCCGCCTCTATCTATCAGGCATTGTTCGATCGAGTACAAAACGCGTAAATTAATTATACAAGTACGCAAACTGCCCCTTAAGAGATGCACAAAAGATGCACAAAAGATGCACAAAAGATGCATTTAACTGTTTGCAGTCCAGATATTCCGTTTCCAGTACAGTCGGGCACGGGACGGCAAAGAGTTAAAATTAAGCGACGTTACACTCGGAGTATTTCGATAATGTCTTTCTTTCCACGTTTCCATTTGTATCGGAATGACGGTAAACCTGCGACAGGACGGTTTCCCATGTAACGTCGATGAAAAGTCGAGTAAAGATCGATTCAGACTATACGACACGGACCGTCACGTTCCGGCAACGACACGTACCGGCACCGACACGATAAAACATTCAAACACGCGTTTTAATGGAACTATTCATGCTGTTCCCGTTGACGGAACGTTCAGATCGGTGTCTGTTGAGTGTGAATAGTTCCATTAAAACGCTTGTTTGAATGTTTTGTCGTGTCGTTGCTGGTCCGTGTCGTATAGTCTGAATCGACCTTTAATCGGTCCGCAGTTTCGTGTATCGATTTAATACAAACGCTATCGCACGTGTCCTAAACGATAACAAAGCTGCATACATCGTTAGCAGAAAATTATTTACATCGAGTACACTCGATCCTCGCTCGTCGATTGTTCTACGTTCACTAAAATGAAATTGCACCCGAGGCCGGTACAGTTTCCGTAACATTCTCTCGGCGCGATGTCACGCGTTAACAAACAAATTGTACGTGCATATAAAATTGAAAAGTACACGGTCTAGAAAATGGAAGGAACTTGAGAAATGCTCGTATAGTGCATTAAATACGTTTCACGTAAGCGACGGTAACACAAGATCTCCTCGGAACGCAATTGGTTTGGTCGAAAGTACCGCGACGTCGAATTGGAATTTCCAAGTAGGCGCAAATAAGTATTGAACCGATCGGTACGTTCGAAAAGAAACATAACCAACGTCGTTGCAACTGAGACCTTCTTTGCATTAAACATATTGTGCGCGTACGTATTATCTATGGTATATTATAAATCCTAATGTTGTTGATAGCGATCGACCGCGCACGAACACGATCGAGTGCGCTACACGATACACAAAGTCGACGATATTATTTTTAACAAGCAATCGGACAGAGTGAATGAAGCGAAGAATCGAAAAATATCTTCACTTATTCGCCATGTGTACATTTACACCGGATACTTCCTAGATACCGGCTGCTAATTAGATCGTATACATGGAAATTATAGCTATAATTATGTACGCTGAAATTATTATTAACATCGTAGCGGACATTTATAAAATTAGTTTGCTATTGGAAGCGTTAGAAAGCTGAAAGTTTTAAAAATAAATTACAGCGATGAACGTGTAATATTGTGCGACGTTCATTTCCGTACAATTTCTTTGAGTATTTGAAACGCGAATCGCAAGAGTCGATTTCCTTTATGATTGTACTAGGTTTATAAATAATTTGTAAAATTGTCCACGGACATGCATAACATACAAATTAAAATATGCCCTATAGTTATGTAAAATTGCTAAAAACGATCAAACGAAAAAGGAAGCTACGTGACAACAAATTGCAATGTACAATTCTCGAATAGCCGAGTTAATCGAATAATTTTCACGTTTGTATATACAAATTTATGTGCATATATGTACAATACGCCAAGTACTCAAAGATAAAAGTAATCGAGCTATTAGTTTAAAAAAGAAATATGTTTAAAACATTGTAAAAAAACAAAAGAAAGAAAGAAAGAAAGAAAAAAGAAAAAATTGGAGCTAAAAATCTGTTCACAGCGTACTCATTCTTGATACGCGAATTGAAATAATGCGCAGTAAGCATTCGATTCGACGACGTTTATGGGCAGAGATGGGCGCGATTACATTCGGATACTAGAGACGGTAATTCACCTGGCGATGGGACTTATTCGCTCGTCCAACGCCAAGTATCGTTTCATCCTGTAATTCGGTCTAATCGTTATTAAGCGAATATTAAATATCGCCCATCTCTGAATCGCGATGATAACCTTCATACTAAGCATATCAAATTTACAAAAGGTACGAATAAGATACAAATAAAAATGTTTAAATTGAACTTTAAAATTCGTTACTTTTTAGCATGGTAAAGATTTCGATTGTAAACTATGCCTTTGTTAACGAGTCTACTTCGACTCGTACCGGCTTACCTTAATTACCATCACAATTTTCTTACGAATCGAGCACTTATTAGGCGTATAAATCGCTCGGTAGAAATCAGCTCGCAGTCGAGCCTGATCAATTTTATACGTATGTTGAAGTTAGGTTAGCGTTTATGGATAATATTCAGCACATGGTCTCCGAAGCAGGAGCAGGTACGGTGTTCAAATTCTTGTCGTTGGGATCGGAGCTCTCGGAGTCGCGAATCGGTGGCCTCGATAGCGTCTGTTCGATTTCTCTCGTGACACTGATAGTAGGCGCGGGCCTGCGAGATTCTTCGTCGATGGCAGAGGCTCTGCGTAGCTGGTGTCTGTGTTCGTTCGATATGAAGAAAGGACCGCCGCCGCTCGCTTCGTCCGAGGTATGCAGAGGTTCGTCGTCGTCCTCTATGTACCTTCTTTGTATCAGATCCTCCATCTGTTGGTAATCGCATTCCTCGGCATCGCGCAGGTGTTCGTTCTCGATTTGCCAAGCCATCTCTGCGTTAGACATCCCGGAGTGGTGTCTGGCTCTCGAAGGCGGCGGAGAAATAGGTGGCGTTCGAGGTGGACTCAAGAGTCCGCAGTAACTTTCTAGTTCGTCCGTTATGCTCGTGTATTCTGCTCGCATCGCCAGAAGAATCGAGCGTTGAGTGCTGCTCGTCGACGACACGGATGGAATTACCGCGACTCGTGGCTCTGCCCAGGTCACGCCTCTCGCGATGCCAGAGGGGACCATCACGTCGTCGGACTCTGAACGTGTCCTGCTGTTCTGTCGAGTGGGACGTTCCGTGGAATCTTGTCTGGTTGGTTCCGAGGCTGGCGCCTCGCTGCTCGCCTCTCTGCTAGGTTCTTTGCTCGTAGCCTCTCTGCTCGTGGCATCCCTACTGGTATCTCTACTCAGTTCCCTGCTGGTTTGTCTGCTAGGGTCTGTGCTCAACTCTCTGCTACTAGGCTCTCTGCTCTGGTCCCCGCTGGGATCCATGCTCAGTTCCCTGCTCCCCGACTGGGATTCCTTCTTTATCGTTTCCCCTTCGCCGTCTCCTTTGCTCACTTCCGTTTCCTGGCTCGTTGTCGTTTTCACGTCGTCCTGACAGTGTCCATCTCCGCTCACGGACGATTCGTTTCTGCTCAGATTCTCGCGAGACGCGATTGCCTCTGACTGTTTCAGAACGTCGTCGTCCAATGGCTGACCTAGATTGAGGAACGTGCCATCGGTCAACGACCGTACGAGCCTCTTACGTTTCAGCGTGATAGTCGGTAGCTGCGTATGAGAGTCTGTCTCCGACAGAACTTCCGAACGTTCCGATACCCTGCGCACGCGACCTTCTACGTCGAAACCAGATAGGGCTTCTATGTTGGGCATGTGCGTCGCCATGAACCGATGTATGACCCCCAAATGAGCCAGAGTCTGCTCGTTCAACTCTTCCAGCTTACGTATACGGAATTCCACTGCCTGAAATGTAATAACGTTAATATTTTCTACACTGATATATTGGGCTGTCTGGAAAGTCCATGACGATTTTTAGTAGGCGATACAGGTCTGAATATATCGGAATGGCTGAAAACAAATAAAATGTGTATATTCCTTAACAGGTGAAAAGGTTGTGGAACAAAATGGTACATATATAATTCAAACATGTCTTTGAATTTTTCTTAAAAATAGGCATGAACTTTCCGTACAATCCAATTGAACATTAAAACGAGTATCGGAGGATGTTATTACCTGAAGCGAAGCGTTCTGAGTGTGCTCCTTCTTATCGATGTCTTCTATCTTCTGATGCATATTCTCGACCCTCTCCGTTGTAACCTTCACGCGCTCCTCCGTGGACATTTGCAGCTTCAGCTCTTGCTCGCGGAAGTATCCTTCGACGCAGTCTTCTTCGAAATCGTATAGGCGCGCCATGTCGTCGCGCTCAAGGAACAACTTGAGCCCGTTGTCGTTTATTTCACCCGTACTCGCTTTCCCTTGAGTCACATATCGCAGCAAATATTTCACCAGCAGATATATGTGACAAACTACAATGAGTGGAGGAGGTAAAACTGGTTTCTGTTCGTACTCCATAACGACAGTAAAACGTTGGAACATCCAAACTTGGTGCGCCACCGCGTTTACTTCATTGAAAATATTATTAAAAACCGCAATCAAAAGGTTTATCAGTAAAATGTTCGCGACTAAGAGATAAACGGACATTACGGCAGGTGTGATCCAGCGGCCTGGAAGACATGGTATCATTCCTGGTTCGTCTCCGCAATCAGGGTCTATATTATCCGCGTATACTTCTCCGTACAACATAAAATATGGCTCCATGAATATCTGTACAACAAGAAATTTCTTCTATAAAAATAATATATCACCATTTTGCAAGAATAGTATTCGTAAAAGTTACGTACGTCTCGAATAATTTTTAATTTAGGCTCAGCATTGGGATTTAAAATAGCTTGCCGCGTGACTCCGAAGCTCATCAACACGACTAATAAAAGCACCACGAAGTATATCATATTTTTCACCATCTTTCCCATCATGGTGACCAAAGGACCTGACGAAATCAACCAAGAGTTTAATTATCGTATGCCCGACTGCGTATACGTATTGGGTTGTCTGGAAAGTCCGTGCCTATTTTCGATAGGTGGTACACGTCTGTTTATATTGGAATGGTTGTAAACAATCAACATGGGTGCATCCCTTAAAAGGTGGAAAGGTTCGTGGAACAAAATGGTATTTCTATAATACAATAAATATATATCAACATTCAAATACGTCTTTGAATTTCTCTTAAAAATTGCCACGAACTTTCTGGACAACCTAATATTCACGTAAATGACCAGTTTAAGCAACATAACATACCGAAGTACTTATTTACACCGAGGATATTGAATATCCGTAGGTACCAATAAATACAATCGACGCAGTAAATGACACGACCGATGTCGAGAGTGGAGTGTCGCAAGCGTAACGCTAGACCAATTTGAAAAAAAATGATAGCTGCTGCATCGCAAGGATTCCACATATTCCATGCCCACACGCTAAATTTGTGCGAAAGTGTGGCTGGCTCCGACGTAGCGATCTCGCGTACTTTCTCGCATCCCAGCGTGCAAACATACGTGATCGCGTAAATCTCTGCCAGCGACGGATGATCGTCCATATGTATAAGGATGCAGTACGAGAAGAGAACCAAAAAAATGATGTACGCTATCTGTAAGAAAAATAAATTTCGTGTTTTAGCGATGCAATTAAAAATTCGTCTGAATGTAAATTAATTTCAAGGGAGAAAAACTTACAGCATTTGCCCAGAACTTTGTGATAGGTGCCGTATAAAATTCGTATAACTTTTTCTTCAGTCGTAGTGGCCTGCTAGTTTTAATATCGTAATAATCAGAGTGAATGTCGTACGAACGTTGAACACCGTCGTCGTTATCCGTCAGGACTTTCCCATTTTCTTGTACGATTGTTTCCTTTACTACTGCCGTGGTGTGTTCGTTGCTGATCAAAGCCTATATAGAGAAATAAAACTTTCAGTAAAGTTTATGCGCCCGTTAGACCGTACAGGACATTGACATACAGATAACAGGAATTTATCGAATACTGGATATGTATCGGTACTTGTTTTAGCTAATTGTTGGTCATTCTTGGGAATCGTTTACGGTACAAATATTGCTAACGAATCGATTGTAAAAAGGTTTCTTGGTAGAATAATACATAGTACGGGAGAAGCAAATGCTAAACTAAAAATGTTTTCGTACCGTTCCAGAATATTGTGGATGAAGTGCGGACAGAGAGTTGGGTAAACATTGGACATATAATTTCTCTACAAATGTAACTACCGCTATAGGATGTCGGTAACACGAAGAAATTATGAGAATAATGTACACGCCAGATGAATTTCTTTTCTACTGAACGAAAAACAGAAACAAGAGAGAATACAAAAGCAACGGATACAGTGTAGTTTGTGTTAAGAATCATGACTGTGTAGAATAGAAATCATTAGTGCACATCGAAATGTAATGCAAGGAAAGCGATATAGCTGAAATTGTTTCGTAATTTCAAATGATGATCCGCCGACCCTTTTCCTTTCGATCAACACTGACTTATTAAAATGTGAATCGCTGAGAGGCGAGGCTGCATTGACGCAGCCGAGTTAACAAATACCAAGGACAAATTGTTAATGACGTACGGTTGGTAATGATTACAGATATCGACCGCGATGGAAAACATCGGTATAGAAAATAAAAGGATCAATTCACGAAACTTGTTTGTTTCTTTTTCTCCTATGGTTACATCGCATGATAACTCGCGTAAATTTTTAACGTTTATAGGAAACGATACCGATATTTTTGCGGTAATTTATCGACATCGAGATAAACGATTTTGTGGTATTTATAATACAGGACGATTCGTTTACGATAGAAGCGTTAGTTATCATCCTCACCGGTACAGATTCCGATACTGAATAAACAGAAGTTTTCCTTGACGATAACTAATAACAAAAGAGAGATAGTTGAAAAGTGCACCGGAAAGTGTGAACTTATTGGTCATAGAATCATTGCGTTTCAGGCCATTATAGATATACCTTAGCGCCTTGTTGGCTGCTGGATTTGTTGCGTACGCTCAGGCTCCTGCGCTGACGTTTCTAAAAAACAATTCATACGCATACCCACATAGTCTATGAGTTATAAAACACATGTTCAATACCTCTAATAGTGATCGATACGTTTTACCACTGAATACAGATCCGGTTACTAAGCGTATGACGTCCTTTCTGAACAAACTGTTTAAACGTACACATTTACATAATAAAGATAATAAAATCATACGTGATGAATGCTATATCCTTCGAACATGTAAACAATGAAAACTAAAAGGTACAAAATCAGACGCTGTGACGTACTGTTTAACCCTTAAATGGCTAATAGACTCTCTCGTGCTCCAAACGTTCGATGCAGGCACGCAAAAATAGAACCTACATGCGTATACGTTTTTATATAATTTTTCAAACTACTGTTCAAAACCAGCAACCATATATTTCAATTTATGCCACAAACAATCATTTCTTTCCAAGTAAGATATTACAACTCGACAAGTATCTAACTACAATTACGCTGAATATCGTACTCTGGTTCGATTTATCGTTGCTACTAATCTCCATTTGCAAATGATACAAAATTAAAAATTTGTACAATGAATGATCGACATTCGAACGAAACTACTAAAAATAACGAAGCAATGATTGTTGGCACGTACTCGAAGTAAATAAATAATTGCAGCATGAGAAATGAGTAATGAATCATCATAAATGCAATGACAGATTTTTACTAATTAATACAAATTAGATTCTACACCTTTATAACCATTGCTCAACTGTAATAATATTGATCACGAGAATTAATTACATATATTTTAGGTTTGTTTCGAATCAAATCACCTCTCGTATAGTTATTTACTGCTGTGATTTTATTAAAGAAATAAAAAAAAAAACATAATTATTACCTCGACATCGGGACCAGTTGGCGCACCATGCTCGGAATCACTGTCTTCCTTCTCATCCTCAAGAGCAATCAAGTGTTCCTCTTGAGTCTGTGGCATTAACTGTAACTCTTCGCGACTTTTAAATTCCAAACGCGCTATATAAAATGGACAGACCAGTCCGAGTACGACCTACAAAATATTTGTGTAAATTACTTGAAGAAAACAACGCAAGTACATGTGGCAATAAATGGGGTTGGTGTCAGATCACCGACAATGTTTAAATCGACACTTATTTCACCGACTTATTTCAATAAATGTGCTACTTACTTTCAAATTTGTATTCTTTCTTGTTCGAAGACCGCCCATCCACAGATCAGCTAAGATAATCTGACTGCAAGTGTGCGCCAAAAGGGGACGATGATTAGCCGTGACAGCTAGGGAAAGACACGTCTGGCCAGACCAGTGCTGAAGTTCAGAAGTGAGTAGCTGTTGCGTTTGATCGTCATCTTGCCGATAGCAATAATCTAACAATTCCAGTGCTACGGAAGAAAATGATATACATATAGACGTGACAATCGTCGTTTCTAAAACTATGCAATTCTATACGATTCTCCTATAAATGTATTCGTACCAATATTTTCGAATTCCTTTCCATAGTTTCGTAGCTCGTCGTACACTTCCGTTTCGAGGTCATCCTCGGCAGCTTCGTGAGCCATGGCTTTGTACAACTTGAGGGCGACGAGCGACTTGGCCAATGCTTCCTCGCCGTGCTGCCACATCAGCAACGCCATTTGCTGACGTTTCGTTAAAACAGCCCAAATGAGCAGCTCGTTGAAAGGGTACTCGAAGAGAGGCGTTTCGGGATGAGCTGGCAACGTCTCCGCGAGTAGACTTATCGTCGAACTCTCTTGCTTGTTACCAGAGCCGGCGTAGTAACGCGTAGCGTTACCCCACACGTAGCTGTTTCGATGCATGTGCTGCTGATGGGCTCCGGATCTCTTCATCACTTTGGTATAAATCAAACGGAACTTTCTGCGAGTGTATTGGGAACGGTACGCGCCGCCCATTAATTTATTTATCACGAGCCCGATGTCGTGCAGCGTGTACATGTAACCACGTGGAATATTCGGTCGCACGTCTCGCAGGATGTAGCCTAACGTGTTCGAAGGACCTTCTTTGGTATTGTACAACTCTTCGAGACGCGGAATGGATAAGAACTTTCGCATGGAAACCCCGTTCTCCAGGAGAAGCTTCACGAAGTCGATCCTGTCGTGTTGCAAAGCCTGCATCATCGCTTGTTCCAAAGCACCCGGTGGCCATTTTTGTCCATACACGAATATTTCGCTGCGCGCTATGTCCACTCTGTTCCAAATTAGAGATAGCGACAACTGTTCGGCTGGAGACAATTGTTTCGACTTGAATAAAGCTGTCAGTATCGTTTGATCGAGCTCTTGGGGGCGATCTTGGGTTATCCTAAATACCGTTATCAAGTGCTTCTTACGCGTACACTGCAAAAGTTCCGAGTATAATTGGCACGCCGGTTCGGAAGTGACTTTGAACGTGCGCTTGATCGTTTCCAACACCTGTTCCCTCATACTCTCTAATGGTCCCTCGTTTTCTCCCCCCTCTCCGTCACCGTCGGACGCGTACTTGTGCATGAAAGCGATGAGATCAGCTGCGCGACCCGAGCCATCGCAAACTACTACAGGAACAGGCGGATCATCCGTAACGTACTCCAAAACTGAACGTATCGTGTTCGTTCCTCCTTCGATGACTAACGCCACGACAGGAATGCTGCTATGCGTATCTGTAACAACGACGTTCGCATAAATTCCTCGAAAATTATTACAACAGTGATTACTACACTTACACGGCTGTAATTTCAAATTGGAAATATATTTTTCTAATTTTCTGCGCAACACGATCTCTGCGCCGTACCGTCCACCGGTCCCATTATCCACCAGTAAGAAATATGCGTGTCGGTTATTTAGGACTGCATATTTGGTCCTGGAGAATTTTAATAATTTTAAGATTATTATTTTAAAACGCACCATTTTAAAACAAAATTCCTGGCTCTCTCTCTCTCTCTATTCTTACCATGGAGATGAAACGCAATCGTAAGGTATTTCGCCTCCTCGGCCCACGAGTTCATGGCTTTTATCTAAAATTCCCCATGGAGCAATGCCTATGCTCACGACGCGTCCTTGTCTTTGGGATCTCTCTAATAGCAATGCATCTCCTACTTGCCTTGTTACACCTATAAAATTATAATTTAAATATTTGATCCACTTGGTTGCAGACTGTCTCAATTCAATCTTGAACTTGCTCGAACCGACCTGTATTCGTCCCACCCGTGAATATCCATGCGCCAGTTGTTTTAGCAGCCTTCAATAAACCCTTCCTCAAAACTTTCTTTAAACTAGGCTGAAGATCGAAATTGGGACGACCACCGTGTACAGTAATCAGTAGCTTCGGTAAACCTAAATTCCACTCCCTGCACAGCAACTGTACTATCGGCTCTGGCCTTGTGTCATGAGCTAGTCTCACATACTACGAATGAGATATTATTAAAAATATTACGAATAACAAAGAATTTGACCGTTTAAATTTGATTAACGTTCGTCGCTTACTTGTGCTTTCGTTGGATGCGCACCTTGGAATTCAATTGTTCCGTACGCATCGGTTGGAAATGGTCGCGTATTTTTACCGGGTGACCATTGCTCTCGATCCTTCTCTTTGGTATTACTAGCAGTAAAACTTTGTACGTCTGCTCCAGTTCCGCAGTGATGAGTGTAAGAATATCCACAACAACATCTAAAATAATCGATATTTTGTTATTGGTTTAGTAACGAGAAATTAGATGGATTTGAACGTAATAGATATTCGATTTTTCTGTGTTTAATTATCATCGAATTATTCCAATTATATTTGATATATCGGTAATTATTACATATACACTATGTACGAAGCATGGTGTTACTAGAATAATGATATTCCTTGCATAAATATGGCTTAATTATAATATGATCAAAAGCATGATGAGTGACCTCAAAAAGAAAAAGCAAGTATGTTTCATGAAAAACAAAACGTAACTATGTAATATGATGGAATTCGTGTGTTTCTTTTAAAATACGCTATAAAACCTTACAGTTTAGCAGCATTTTGTATAAACTTCTATCGAAGCTGAGAACAGTATAGATTGCATGTAACATAAGTAATTAATTAACTATTTAAAAATGTAGATAACACGGTATATGTAAAATATTTGCAGAAGCAATATTAAATATTTTTCAAGTAAGATTATAAGATCGCGGCAGAACGCATAATGAACTCTCACCTGGAAGTGGTGATCACATCATACTCTGCATTCTTATCTCCGTGTACTTGCATAAACCTATAAACGGAACGAAAGAAAGAAAAGTAAATGAAAAGTAAATGAACACAAGGAAATGTGTTAGTAATGACCTGAAAAAAGTTCGAAATAAATTTCTCAATAATAATTAGGCGTTACGAAACATAAACGATGATGACGCATAACAAATGTGTTGAAAGACTAATCTACGAATAAAAATTAACTGCAAGATTAACGAAGTCGCTCTACGATTTTTATCATAGCGTCTTATATTGCCTCTGCAAAAATATTTTTCAGCAGAAATAAATGAATACGAAAGTTGAACAACACATGATGTTATTTAACACTGAACAAAACATGAGATGATGGTCGATGAATATTGAAAATAAATTAATTTCTGTGCTTACTTGAAATTTGGTCATTCTATAAGAAATAAACTTCCGTAAATTTCACAACCATAACTTAGTTTATCTATTGATACGGCTTAAATCGTGATAGGGTATATACAATTATATGTTATTTTTTACAGCATTACCTAAATGTATTACATACCTGTGCTCATCTTTAGCGCTTGGAATAAATTTTGAACATTCCCTTTTTTGAAAAGTCGCCTCTATCCAGCTGCGTTCGGTTGCCTGTAACGAGCGTGAGTCACATATTCGCGATTATAAAATGTAAATTCGAGGACATTCGACATTATAATATTAACATAAGTAATATTATTTTCAAACAAATGAAATAAAAACTAAACAAATTATACCTTTGCCTTTTTTCTCTTCATTTTGGGAGTACTGGCTCCACAGATAATACTTCCAATTGCCATCTTGATACGTATCAAAACTTATATTCACCTTAATGACCGATACACTAACTAAAAGAGAACGTTAACAGAACAAAATAAAATCACAAGAAAATTATAATAAAATATAATTTAACATAAATGTCATGTGTGCACTAAATTGCGTAATAAATACAAACATATTGTCATTTAATAACACTAGTTAAAATGAGAAACCTAGTTAAAAATTAATATTTGAACCTGTAAATGAAGCTAAACGTTTAAAAAACCACGAGATAATATCTTTATTTGTATCAATAACATCATAAACCATAAGTTGAATACTAATATTTGATTGAAGTTATTTTAGAGAGAGTATACATAACTGTGACGAATACTTAACAAAATAAAACTGTAAACATAAAATGGCCAAGAAAACTTTCATGTTATAGAGATAAGATAAATGAATGAGATAAGGAAAATACGCTTTAATGTTCATTGAAATTTCTGTCTTGTACGTAGTCACTAGTAACTACATACAAAAGCAAGTATTTGTGGCAATTGAATTTCATTTGTTGGTACGTTATACACGAGGAATAGTAGAGAAAAGGCACCAAGTATATTATTTGAATATTTCTGCATAAAACATTGGGTAAAATAATTTTAATTTCGCTCACCACTCTGCAACTCTTCGTTTTGTCTATCATATCTACATAGAACTGCATGGATAATATCGGTAACTCTGCGCCTGATAGAATAAGTATTTATAGTTTAAAACTACTTTGTAAGAAGAGTTATCGGTCGGTATTTATCCAATAGGAATAAACCAGAGTTATCTGAAACAAGATTAATACGTAAAGTGGATAATACGTTTGAATGGATATCCAAAGCTTTAGGTGTGTTAAGTATCGAGGCTAACAAAATGTTTGCAAACAAGCATCGCAGGCATTCGAACAACTGCCTGGAAGCGAGAATCGCATCGTGCTCTGCACTCTCACCTTCTTGTCCAAGAGTTCGTTAAATTTCATTTAGCCAAGATTATTGGAATTTGAATCACAGATTAACGAGAAATCAATAACAATACGATGCTCAGGCGAATACAACGATAATGTGACATTTCGAAAATCGGCGGGAAAATTCTATATCTGTCATGTGCCTCTTGATTAACCTGAAAACTTCATAAATATTTCAACGACAAATTGTAAAAGCTTCGTGGATGAATTTAATAGAAAAATGACGGTTGAATTTCGGGCATTTTGGTATTTAAATGTCTGGTAACGAACATGCAACTGATAACACATACCTTGCAAATACGTGGGTGACGATTCTCAAGTTATTGTGTTCATAGTGCGTAAATTATCACGCATCCAGGGAAACAGCACGCTCGTACGAGCTCGTGATGTTTCGCAACTCCTCTTATAATTCATAAAATCCTTTTTTTTTTTACGTCACGCAATTAACGTTACAGGATATTTACGTACGCCGTTGGCATTTTTGCATCGCTGGACGTATACGTCGTCGAATCGACACCACGTCTTCGAATGTAGACCAGGCACGACGCAATTCCACCAAAAAAATATCTGTGGAAATCTCTCGCGCCGAGAATTCGTTCCATTATCCGGGTATCATCCCTTGAAAATATCGAGCTTCCTCCCCTGCATCGTTACTGACAAACTAGGCCAAGAACAAGGTTAACTTTAACATTCGACTCAAAGATATCGGCGGTACCGTCAACTGCGATGTTCGAATGGTAAATTCGAAAAGTTTGAATTTTTTCGATGTGAATTTACTTCGGACGCATTTTCGTGCTGGTTTATCGCTGTTTTCATTCACGAAACACTTTTCGTTCCATGAAATTGCTAGCTTTCTTCGTTATACGATATCGATTGATAGAAGGAAATTTTAATTGAAACGACCTCGGCAACTTGTTATTATTTTCTTTATCACGATGGTGCAAGTTCAGCGTACTGATAATTTGTAAACTATAAATATACGAAACACGTGTTGTTTCTATTAGAAGATTTTTTTTTCTTCATAGATAGTGTTTTGTGTTGCTTTATTTTCTATCGATCATTAGGTCGAGCAAGAATAATTACGAGCGTATATTCGCATGGATAAATTATTTCATGTTTGAATTAAGGGTGCAAAATATTTAATGAAAACAATTCGAATGACTGACTATTTGAATGTTTTGTGCGATAATCGACTATGCAGATATTAGTAGAAAATAAATAAATGGGGTTTTAGTACAATTTATTAGAGTTGTATAATAAATTGTATAATCCGTAAAAGGTTAAAGCTTTTATTCTGGTTTTTCGGGACCCGACACTTTCGATTTATTAGACGATTCTGATTCTGTTTTATTAGCTCTATTCGATCTAAGTACAGCCCCTGGACTGGGGTACGGCCTCATCTGATACAGCGGCCCTGAAGCAGTTGTGTCTGCTCCTGTTTTGGCTTCGTTGTGCCTTGCTAAACCATCTGACCACTTCCCCCTATAAAATACGACGAAACGAATAATATTGACAGTTAAACTTAACATTCTCGAGTTTTGAGACAATTCTTCAGAAGAATACCGTGGAATATCGCTATAAGATGCTGGATCCATGGGGTCTAGTGTGCGGTCTTTTTTATCTTTACTATCAGATCTATCCAATCTCTGTACTCTTTTATTATCTATTGATTTATGTCTCAATCTGTTCTCTACTTTCCTGTCTTTTTTCGGATCTGGTTCATCCATCTGAAAAGCCATTCCATTAGATGAAAAAGGCGTATGTATATGATCAACAGCTACATTAAATTACTAACTTCCATCGATTCTTGATCGCTACCACTATCGTCGCTCGACAAGTTATCATCCTGCTCCGCTGCTTTAAGATGTAACTCCTCTCTTAATTGAGATGCTGGCTGAGATATCTGACATTTTGGATGACCTGGTGGTAACCAGGATACCAGATCAGATGACCAGTCCCAGTAATAATGTTGACCGCTAAATGAAAAACATTCCTGTAACGAATATTAAAAACACTAACAATTGGAAGGGAAAAGATCTATACTCGCCTCCCTGGATCGTAAACAGCTTTCCATGTCTCCGGCAAAGGATACTTCTGTATAAGACGCATTTGTTTCTTCAAGTATTTATCCAAAGGCTGTATATGCCCGAGTCCCCATAATTCTTTACATTTCTTTGTACAATCATGATAAATATTGTATTTATTGGGACAGCCACTGTATCCCTGAAATAAAATTGATAAATTAATTACAAGTTAACCTTCGCACTTTGCATAGACATTGGTTTATACTAGTACGATACTTGCCATGAATTTTTGAGAAATATCAATTGGACTAATCTCGTCTTTTGTACTGTCATAATCCTCCGCGATTACTTCTTCGTGGACCCTTTTCTTCGATTCTTTCCTCGCGGATTCTGGAAACAATTCGTATTAATTTCACATAACCTAATCGTTCATACAGTAAACATAACCTTACGATATCTTGACGCGAAACGCAGTTTAAGAGTCGTTTGAAGAAATAAAAGAGAGCAAATAAGAGAAGCTAAATAAGTAGATATATTAAATAAAGATTCTAACGATAAATACCATGTTTCTCGGAGCCACAAATGAGTCCTCTCTTCGCGAGTCGTGCAGCTAAAGCAGCAGGAAGCGGCATGTTCTGTCTTCAATTATACCTTGCACTGTCTTTCCTTCCGATTCGAATTTCCAAATATTGATTGGATAACAAACTCATTTACTAAAATTCACTCCGCTCTTCATAAACATGTTTGTTTACTCTTGGTACCACAATCACGAGTCGTGACAACCCGATAACAGCGCCAATCGTAAATCATAATTGCATTCAAAGTAACGAAAAGAAACTTCAAGAACTGAAAAAAAAAGAGTAAAGCATAATTAGTATCTTATACAAAGTTGTTGAAAATCTTTGACCAGATAATTATGGGTTACAATAATTCTATTATGGATCCGAGATGGATGCAATTCGATGCATAATTTATAAAAAAAAATTTAGACCTTGTATACTAATTAGAAAAATACAGGGTGTCCCAAAAATGTTGTAACACCTTGAAAGAGGTGAATATTTCCCCTCGAAATTGAGCAACCTTTGTTCGAAACATTTTTCGCTAACTCTAATAGTTTCCGAGAAATTCTACCGGGGAATTTAAAATGGACCACCCTGTATATATAGGGTGTCCCAAAAATGTTGGAGGTCCTTGAAAGGGGTGGTTCGGGAGGTGATTTGAAACAACTTTTCCCTTTCCGAAAATGTCGGATGGGGTTTCGTTTAGGAGATATTAACAGAAAAGCTCGACCAATCAGAGCGCGAGTAGTCTACGCCACTGCGGGCGCTCCACCGCTCTGATTGGTCGGGGGTTTTCTGTTAATATCTCCTAAATGAAACCCCATCCGACATTTTCGCAAAGGAAAAAGTTGTTTCAAATCACTTCCCGAACCACCCCTTTCAAGGACCTCCAACATTTTTGGGACACCCTGTATATACAGAGTGGAGGTAATTTGAAACAACTTTTTCCTCAGCGAAAATGTTGTCCGAGGCTTCGTTAAGGAGATATTAAGCGAAAAACCCCGGACCAATCGGAACGCGAGGACGCCGGCGGAGGGCGGCCGCTTAGCGCGTAGCTTACGCCTACCGTGGGCGGGGTCCACCGGCATACTCGCGCTCTGATTGGTCGCGGTTCTTCGCTTAATATCTCCGTAAAGAAGCCTCGGACAACATTTTCGCTAAGGAAAAAGTTGTTTCAAATCACCTTTCGAACCACCAATTTCAAGGTGTTGCAACATTTTTGGGACATCCTGTATACAGAAGGGTGATTAAAATCTAATTATAATCGTCCTGGCAGTGAATCGAACGTGGGGTTGAAGGACGCACAGAGGACACGCAGGGGTGAACGAACGATTGCGAAGAAATACTCACTTCATAGACGACACTCGTTGACAGTAATCGTTCAGAATATATTTACAAGAGCAGTACAAAGAATAACGCGATATTACACGTACATATTTTGTTACGTACACTAACAAGTAATTGGTAAGCAGGTGAACAGTTTAATTGTTAATCGAGGCACGTGACAATAAGGCATTTCTACAGAGGACAGATACGATCGTATACATATAAGATATCAATCTATCACGCGATCCCATTGTTAACCTTCATTCTTTACACGCCATTCCCAAACTCATTACAAAATCTACTGTATCGCATGGTTTGTTTTTTATTTTACTTCTTTTTTTGCTTTTTACCAAAAGATAGACGCGTATGTACGGAGTGTCTCATTGGTCAAGCGTCGTCTCGAATGTTTCTCTTTCGGTTTCAACGTTATCATTGAAATTTCACGACACGTGACTGAAATGGAAACTTGACGATCCACAAACACGATCCTAAGGAAGTTCAAGAACAACATTATGGACATGGATACACGAAACGAGACACTCTGTACATAACATGCTAGGAACCATCGAAGGTTGATGCCCAAGGTTGTTCGAAGGTCATGGAGTTCTTTTTTTTTCTTTTTACTTTTTTTTTTTATAGGAAAAGTCTATGACCTTGGAATCGTAAAAGTACAGTATCGAAGAAAGTAACGGGTTAATTCTAACGATTATCCTTCCGATTCTCCCTCCCTAATGAAAGCAACAGAAATCCTGTACGACACCCTGTTATTCTGTATAATCCTTAGAATCGTTTAGAACGTTAAGACACCCTTCGATGGAAAAAAAAGAAAAGAAAAACAAATGATCGTTAGAAAATCTCACGCAAAAAGAACGATCTATAGTTGGCAATCCGGTTGATCTTACATGTTTACAATCGTATAAATTACACTTTAGTGGACGTCACAATGAAAGTTTGTGTTAGTACTCGGTGCAAAGATGCGTTATCGCTTTTTTTCCTCTTTTTCTTTTTTGAGTGTACGTGTGCGTTTTTGTTACACCGATTATAGTATACCGCGTGGATTTGTCGAGTGTGCAAACGGGTACACAATAAAAGTATCTCTAAATTGTACAGTTCGAACGATCGAAGGACGATCGATGAAAGATCGAGATGGATGATCGAGCGACACAGATACGGATTACACGATACGGTGTTGCGTTACAACGTGCGCTTTTACACAGGAGAATGTGTGTGTGTGTGTGTATGTGTGTACAAAAAAAATAGAAATAAAAACGTATCAAAGACTTGTACAAAGTATTAAATAAAATAATTGAGAGATAGAAAAAGTAGTCGACTGATTCATCGCTTCCTATAAATTTCCAACTAATTAACATGTTGCGAACAAAAAACCATGATTAACATTTGTAAAGTGAATTGTTAGCAACTTTGATAAGATAAATTCTTGCTATCTTCAAAAAAGAAGTACTGCACGGTAACAACGATAGTACATCGAAAGATCGTTCAAAAGTGTTACGGTTGTTTTTTGTTTTCAGAGGTACAATTGGGAACATCGAACAACAAAGTTAAGATGTACGTTACAAACGGACAAAGACGTTCACGGAGTGGACAATTACGAGAAAAATGAACGAAACGTGTTCACAGATCCGAAAGAAGAGTTTCGCGTTGGCCACAAACATACACTATTATTTTATTACATAACCGTTGAACATTTCTGACGTGAGCAAACGTTCACTTCCGGTTCCGGATGTACCGACGTTCCATTTAACAACAACGAAAAGGACGTTCGGGTACTCGTAAGCAACCGGAAACCTCGGGAAAATTTGTTCCGGTAGTTCAAGAAACAAATGTTGCGATTTATTTAAACGAGTGACTCGATCGAGTTTGCACACGTCGAATATGCCAACAGAAACATACAGTTCGCACAACAATACATACGTACTCGTTCTACCCGTATGTGTATATTATTTTGATCTGCAAAGCGTGAAACGTCTGGTAGTTTTCTTTCAATGTTATTTCAACAAAACAGGGTATTTAACTTCCTATAGAGCTTTCAAGTTCCTTTTAACTTCCTTTGTACAGAATTCTGGAGCTCCAAGTCCTGCGAGTTTCGTGGTAACGTAACCCTTCGCATCGAAGGGAAAGCTTCCCCTGTTATTAGGGGGACCGAAAAGTAATGTAATTTTCTTTTACATTAAATTCAAGCAAATTCATTCTTAATAAGT